TGGTTGTAAACTCTAAGTTTTAAACTCTATGTTTAACAACCAGGAAAACTATGAACAGGACTAACCTTTGATGATCATGAAGTTCAGGGTTTGGTCAGAGAGGACAGGTGGTTTGAAAGAGGGTTGAAGGAAGCCAGTTATGTCTTAAGACACAACCTATTCTCATTATGAGTATGAAATCGTACGAAAAGTTATGCACCTTAATTTCATACGTTTTGGACGTTTTTTTCATCGTATGCGCATGCGCATTCACGAATATAGAATATAAATTACAATTAGCCCTAACCCTGACCCTAAAATATAAAACAGCAAGCAACGTAGTTAGAGACATGAATAAGTGCTGATTGCACTGTTTTTCCCAATTTTACGTCCGTCCGTGGCTCTGCTTTTTTTTTCTGTATGCCAGCGCATGCGCACTGATGTGGTTTTTTGAGGAAAAACGTCCAAAACGTACGAAATACTGTGCATAAATTTTCATACGCACTGATAATGAGAATATGTTGAAAGACGGGGGGCGCTGTGGTTTCAGCCTCTGTAATAGTCAAAGTTTCAAAACAAAGTAAAGACACTTTGGTTGAACAGTAACATGTTATGAATAAACCTTGAGAAAAAAAATTCTGGTTTATTATGGGAATAAATATGTCCTCTATGCAAACACTCCTGTCACTCAGACATTCAGACAAACACATTCCTAAATGTTCGATATCAAAAACATCAATTATGGAAACGATTTGGAACAATGAGAAATGAAGGTGTGTTCTCTTTCAGGTCGATTGGTAAATCCCCAGATGTCCACCTGGTTGTTATTTTCAACTAGTGTATGAACTACAGCAGTAACAGACATATACTTGTTATTCAGTCATGATTTTAAATCTTAAAATGATATGTAATATGTAATTACCATAACAATGTAATCAATACAGGTCTATTACATGTACATCATCAATTTAGCACATTTGGCACATCTGTATTATTATGCTTCATTAACACATTCATTTTGTTGTGATGGATTTGCATAATATGTTATATTACATGATTTATAGACTTAATTGACTTCATAATGAAATGCAATATGATGTGCCTATTATTTTTATCAGAATTTAAAGTGATTTA